GAAAACATTTGGTACTTGGCACTTTTAATAAGGTTTTTGTTGGTATAACTCTTTTGTTTTAAAATAAACCCTGTGCATTTTACAGAACTTGTGAATACTGAACTTTCACTAGCTCTGAACATTATATAAAAAAATTGTGTAGTCAGTGCAGATGTGATAGAACACCCATCCAGTTGAAAATAAGGACCACTCTATATAAAATATATTGATTGGTTTGAGATTTAGATTCATGAATATTAAATGCAATTCTATTAGATGTAATATTACTTAACACTTTCACTACTGCATTGTTATCTGGCTGTGCTGGCCCATTTTGGGGAAAAATAGGAAATTTACTAAGAATAAATAACTATAAATATGCTAACAGTGATTTCTCATGGGCACTAACATTTCAGATTTGATCAGATACTCTGCAGTGTAATCTAAGCTAAACAAAACCTCCAACATACAATATAATAGGTTACAGATCAGGTTGTATTGTAGACTACTATATGTCTATGTTGGTTTGGAAATAGCACTAAGTGTTAGTTAGTTTCTAACATAGATGCTGGTAAACAATATTTCAGTATCTTGAAAACATATATGTAAATTGAAGTAAGCTGTGTAATTTGCATGAGGACTTATATCTTGAATTCCTACATATATTTCAACAGCAGGTAATGCAAGTTTTGTAAATCATCAGAAGTGTTAAGTTCTTTGGATGAAACATTGTCGGTTATTATTCATTTTTGATTACTATTTCTTTCACTTTATATCATTTGCTTTTTATTACAAGGTCCTGAGTTATTTGTAATAATTAGGTGAGATACTTTTAACTTTTTATCATAAATGATAAATTTTACGTATTTACTGCAATCATTAAGTGATATGTGCTGGTGAATTATGTTTTTTGATGATTTTTTATCTTGTTTATTTTTATGATAGATTAAGTGACAACTGTATTTATTTTTATTTAATTTACAATAATCACTTTATTATTTTGTAAAATTATTTAAAGCATGGCTTGGAAATTAAAAAAATAGTCGACCTTCAGTGATACTTGAATATATATACTTTACTTTTAGGAATTGGCTCTTCTGATTAGTCCAATTAATTAATTTGTTTTTTATGGTTTGTTGACCCTTTGCAGGTTATTTAAAGCTAGAAAATATATAATAATATTCTAATAATTGGTGGGGAGTAGATAATAATGATTTAGTGATACAACTTTTATTAATTAACCCATACCTGGGGGGAAGAAGTGAATTCATAATACTTTCACTACTGCATTCTTATCTGGCTGTGCTGGCCCATTTTGGGGAAAAATAGAAAATTTACTGGGAATAAATAACTATAAATATGCTAACAGTGATTTCTCATGTGTGTAAGTGAATATGATGAACCCAACTAGAATTGGAACTCAGCTCTCTGTTTAGAAATTCTGAACCATTATTCATTACACCACCTGAACATCCATACTTACAGCAACCAATATTACAAAGTGGTGACCCATCTAGGTCCTGACCAGGCTTGACATTGCTTAACTTTGGTGATTGTATGTGAACCAGCGTTTCAAAGTGATGTGGCTGTAAGCCTCTGATTAATCTAAGAAGGTTAAGAATTTACTTTTATTCAGATCTTAGCTACATAACCTTATTATTTGGTTTACTCATGATTATGGAATAATTATCTAAGAGTTGCAATGAATATCAACTGAAATTAAGATGAAAGAAATACTAGTAAAATTAATCACTGGCGATATTTCACAAAAAACTAATATTGCTAGTGTATGTAAACAAACAAATGGCAATGGGTTAGGTGTTTACAGGAAAGTAAGCAATGGATAGTGGCTCAGACTTAGGAATTGGAGAGCTGAGTTCGAATTCCAGTCAAATCCATTACATTCACTTATGTGCTAATACCCTTGGGAAAGGTATAAATCCTCTTCTCCTCCCAGCTATGGATAACTAGCAGGACAGACTGGGTTCTGTAGCCTTGGATGGTAATTGGTCTATCGCAGAAAGAAATGGCAACCTACTGCAGGGAAAAAAAATCAGCCTGTCAGTCATGTATCGAAAGATACATGATCGCCTAAGCATGTATCACGCATGGCACATGACTGACTGACTGAAGGCATAAATGCTATTTGGCTAGTTTGAATGTCTGCAACTGGTTGGCTTTTGTAGCTTAATCAGTAAAGCAGCTGCCCTGGAAACTCTCCCCATGGATGAGCAGAAAACTGGAGGCAACTGAAATGTGGTTCTACAGAAGCATACTGAAAATTCCAATAGCAGAGCAAGTAAGCAATGGGGAAGTCTTAAAGAAAATGGTAACGAAAAGAACATTTATGTTCAGAATTAGGAAGAGGCAACTGAAAGTCTTTGGACACATAATGAAGAACTGGAAAACATAACAGGGCATATTAAGGGCAAGTGAGTTAGGAGAAGGCAGTGAGTATCTATCTGACAAGCTTGGTTTGAAGGGATGGTGAAATAGTGTGGGAGGACTTAGTGAAAGTAGAAAAGCCTCTAAGAGTCACAAGCAATAGGAAATTTTGGAGAGCCATAATTACCCATGTCTTAAAGTGATGTGCCATGTAGAAGAAAAAGCTTTTCTGGAACTGCAGACTCTAGAGAATATAAGATGCAGGTTAAAGTTTAAACATTAATTATTAAGAATTAAAAATTAATTTTAAAATCTTTAAAATATACCAATAACTATCAGTATAGTTACAAAGAAGGAAACAATTTGTGCATAAAGTTGGTTCTCTGTGTCGCACCAGAAAGTTTTTCTCAGCCAAGTCCATTCTTCAAATCTATATATCAACCATTCACCTTTGCATGGAATATTGCTGTCATATATGGTCTGGAGCCCCTGCTGTTCATTTTAGGGGCATTGACAAAAATCCAGAGATGAATATGCAATATGGTTGGCCCTGATCTGGCATCTCGTTTACAGTTGCTCTCTCACAGATGTGTCGTCACCTCCCTCTGTCTTTTCTACAAATATTTTAACGTTAACTGCTCTGACAAACTACTTTCGCTAGTTCCCAAACTGCATGAATTTAAATGTGCCACTAGGTCGGCATTTCAGTTCCACCCTTTCACTGTTGAAATGATTAAATGTAGCTGTCTCTTCTACTCCAATAGCTTCATATTTGCACTTCCCGTCTGTGGAACTCCCTTCCTCTTACTTGCTTTCCTGATAGCTATTAATCTCTATCTATTCAAATGCAATGTCAATTGACATCTCCAGATGCCATGATCTATACCCCGTCTTCTCTTCATCCTTTCCTCTCTCATGCCTCTTTACTCTTGCTCCCACTTTCTGTAACCCCTTGCATGCTAGTGGCACTCTTACCTTGCTTGGGGTGAAAATTTTAAAAAAAATAAATAAATAAAAAATTAAAATATTTTACCTTCAAAAATGTCATCAAATGAAAATTAGCTTTTTTGATAAAATCTTGTATTAGTAGGTATTTGTTTATCTTATAAGATAAAGGTAGTGTCTTGTTTATTCCTTTGGTGGTGAAGTTGGGGGTGATCTCTCCAAGGTGCAGGCTTGGGCAATCGTATATGGAGGCTGTGCACTCCCCAGACTGTATGCACCCCCTCACCTCTGCCTTACCAGCAAGATACAAAGGAATACAGTGCAATAATATTTGGGGATGGCTCGGCTGCATCAGTTGATATAAAATTGTCAGTGTTGACAGCCAATTACCTTCGGGGCTCCACTCCAGGTTTTCTATCTGGATTTACTTTTATAGTCTTTTCTGCTCTTGGTTGGTATATTTACCAACCTCCCCACAAGGTAAGATGTGGCACATGGCCAAGTTTAATGTGGGTGAATCCGAGCCCATAGGCTCGGCCAAAAAAGCCCCATATAAAACGGGGTTGGATAGCTGTTTCCCAAGATGAGACTCTGCCCTTCGACATAGCCCGGTCTGTGGATCCTATCTGCTCAGAAGCAGAGTTTGACCAGCACAGCTGGAAAAATATTCCAGCTCGATCCTGGAATCCAACCTTGGAAACCAGAGTTCTGTGCTTGTTTGGCTATAACTGCAAGACAGCAAAGGGATCTCCTCCCCTAGATGGACTGCTTTCTTGGGCTGTTGATCTTCATCTACCCAAAGCAGCTGTTTATGAGACACACCAGTTTTTCACTTTTGCCCATTCTCCGGCTTGAAACTGGACAGTTGTCAGAGGTTATTTGAGATGCATGCCATGGAAGTATTTTATAGACAATTGGAGCTTATCCCCACTATTACATCCCTGCTATGACAACCTTTAGAATATATATCATGTATGTATATAAACATTGTATACATTGCATGTTTTAGAAGTTCCCAAAAATTCATCTTGAATACTCATATAATTACATTTATAAGCTGAAATTAGACAATGTTCTAATTATTGTAATTTCTAGCTTTTCTTCTTTTTTTTTATCTTGGAACTTGATCAGTTTTTCATTCAAAATACAATTTTAAAAAAATTGCTCAAATTATATTGCTTGCATTTTCCCAATATACCATTGCTTTCAAAACCTAATAATTATAAAAATAAAACACAAGAAAATTTTGATCTGGACTCTGGTTACTTAATGCTTATGCAAGAATTTGGACTCAAATTTCTTAAATGGTTGCTTTATTCTTTATGCCTTTATAAATAGAAAAGAAAAATATTTCAATGTAACTCAACTCATGGAATTGGTAAAATTCTTGAATATAGTATAAAATAATTTATTTAGTAACTCTCTTTGTTTAATTTTACCTTTCCTTTTTTTTTTTTTTGAGTTGGATAAGTTACACTTATAGTAGCCGTTTGGTTGCTTAAGATTTAGTCAATTTTTTTATAAAAAAATTGTTTATTTGTAGGAATAATAATAATAATAATAGAGCCCTATTGGAGAAGTATTTTTTATTCTATTTTAATCTAATTTTTATTCTTGTAAAAATGAGTTTAAAATCCATCACCATATCAAGACAGCAACAAACTTGGGCCAAACTTTCACCTCCAGCTGTTATGGGTAGATCTATCTGTCCAGTATTACACTGATCAGCCACCAGAAGTTACTTTGATATATGGCATCCACATCTTTTTACAAATTCATGTAAGGTTAAATTTGGCTAATGCATCTCCACCTTAACAAAACAGACCATCCTATACTTGTGCTAACATATAATAAACCATGGCCAATGCATCTTACCCCTGAAACCCCTGACTGGGTTTTTCAGAACTATTTTATGGCCGTCTGCTATTTTTGTAATTATTTTTAAACTGATGTTACATTGTCAGACATCTACTAATAATATGCATCATGTATCTGCATGACTGGTGCAGTGCATACTATGCAGGAACCCCCAACGAGGTTGGAGCTACAAAAGGACTAATTTCAGCATTGTTTTTTTTTTTTGCTTTTTGTACTTTTTACTTTTTTTTCTACCAAAGTTATATTGTTATTCATCGACTATAATACTACCCCAAAATCTCTAAACTGTATGGGGTCCCCATGCTTACTTGGGTGGGAGGATATAAGTTCTAATTTCAGTAGCACTTATTTTTTTAAATTGTAATTTTCTTTCTGAACAGTTTTTTAAATCAGTTAAGAGGGTAATATATTTTAGTAAAATCAATTTTTATTCCAAGATTATCCACTAAAAAGGATCTCTGAATTTTTTTTTAACTAATAGTAATACTAACCAGAAGTAACATTTTTTTTATTTTTAAGCAATCATTTTCTTGGTTTTATCTTTTTAAAAGTGTAAAAAAATAGGGACTAAAAATTTTAATTATAAAAAGTAAATAATTAATGAATATATACTGAAATTTTCATTTAAATTGGATAATTTCCTAATTTATGGTAATTTAAAAAAAAATGCTGCCCCCCCCTCCCAATTTTCCTTCAAGAGTTTGTGGCCACCAAGTTGGGAAACTATGAAATTGGCATGTAGTAGATTGGGGAGGCCCTCATATCACAGTTTCAGAGGGAACCCCCAAGAACCTAGTGCCAGCCCTGTAACAAACTTATGATCAACCTTTTATTTATGAATGTGACTCAAAGTTGAAATTTAGAGTGGGTTTAACAGCAATAACATGGAAATATTTTATATATATCGTCTTGGGCAATAAAAATTGTTAAAAAATTAAAATTTCAGACACACTGGGTTGTATCTGTCTATATTTCTGAGATGAGGTATTATGTACACAGTTTACATTATTCAGACTATTGTCCTCATCTTTGTCGCCATATTTATTACAACGTTTTGCTCCGGCCTTCTTCAGGTGGTTGGAGAGGGGAATTAACAGGAGATAACTGACAACTGACATCCATTAAAACATGGCATGTGGAACTAGAACAGTCTATCCCAGCGAGCGAAATAAAGGGTTCAGTTTGACATTCCAACCACCTGAAGAAGGCCGGAGTGTACAATGGCCGAAACATTGAAATAAATATGACGACAAAGATGAGGACAATAGTCTGAATAATATAAATAGTGTACACTGGGTTGTATATTAATATTTTTGTTTTATTTTTAATTAGGTTCCTCCAATAGTTTCAGCCACAGTGGTGAATGACAGTCTCTGAAGAAGTAGAACTTAGCTTGTAGTTTTCATTTGTATTTTTTTACAGTTAATTTTTGGTCAGTTCTAGGATTGGCTCAAGTTGATTTTTTAAGGAGAGGTCAGGAGATCCATGAGTCTCAGATGTACGTCTTTAGTCATTTTGACAACTTTATTGGTTGATAGAAAGATGTGTATGTTATCTTAATTTTACTTAGAGTGTGTGTAATTTATGTATGTTTATATATTTGTGTGTGAGGGAGTGGTAATATATGTTTATTACTAATAAGTGTCATTTACAACCTAAACAGTAACCTTTAATTTGCATAGCAATTTTTAAAAGGATATTTTAATAAATATTTTATCCTGGTTATTTATTTTTAATTCATATTTTAAAAATTGTCATATGTAAGCAGTGATTCTGTCAATGATTTTTTTTAATTCCTCATGTTTTTATAGAAAGAATTTATATCTGCTTTAGCAAAATTCAGTCAAAAAACCTAGAGCATTCATAATATGCATTGTTGTCATCTGATATTTCACATTACTGCAAATTAGTTAGAGCTGAAAAAATTTTATGGAATTATCTAAATTAGTTAAAATAATTTGTTTAATTAGATTTTCTTAAAACTGTGCTGAATTTTTTAAACAAGTGAAGATATACCAAGTTTGCTGAATTGATTATTATTATAGACAATTATTCAAATGTTTCTCTCATGGTCACTTCTATGCAACTTTTTCTAGTGTATGGAATTCAAGAGGACTTATAATAATAAGAGCAATTATGATAATAAAGAACTTTATAAAATAGATGTTTTACTGAAAATATTGTTTATGCAGAAATTTTTAGAGGTAAGAGCATTTCTATTGTTACTTTTCTCTGTTCAAAGAACAAGGATTTGGCTTGTAAGTTAAATGAAAAGAAAAACTACTTGTTATATTCCGTGTTAAGGGAATAAATACTTAACACCAGGTGGATAACAGAAGAAAGGTTTATTGTACACAACTAGTACAATATGAAATACGGTACAGTTATACACTCAAGTCAATCTAGTAGTGAGTGCCACTAATTGGAAGGTCGAACATGCTTGCGTCTTCTCACTCTTCCTTCAGTCTCTTGTAGACAGTTGACTTTATAGGTACTTACTACCTATAATGTAATCATTCATAGAGGTAACTGGTTATTCCATTACATCACTACTGAACTCTATTTTTGTATGCAATTTTTTATATCTCATTAAATTGTGATGAGTAATAAAACATGGAATTCGTAACAACATGGAATGCAAGAGGACAGGGAACAAGTGTATTGAACCATGACTAACCATTCCAAATGCATATCACCATAATCTCCTTCAGTGTTGAAGAGTGTGAAAGGAACCATCATTAACCATGCCTGTCAGCATAACCTCCTTCCTCATCAATGCACTTAATTCAGTGGCAAATAGTAAATCATGTAAATGAAATGTTATACAATGAAAATATTAGATCAAAATTTAGTTTCTAAGAATATGTCAGGCAACAGACTTAATTATGCAACTTAATGTCTATATGTATATATAAAATATGGTACTGAAAAGTTCTCAGCTCAACCAAGTGGCCAGACATAATAAATTTGTTTTTTTGGGTCAGGCCATGAATATTTTAGCATCTCCTTGTGAATATATATATATATATATATATATATATGCATAAAGTGGATACTGATGTCAACACCGAGTGGCGACAGTCTGTTATATGGTTGAAAGCAATCTTCAGGCCATAGTTATATTTACTGAGCACTTTAAATATAGCATACCTTAAAACTGTATTTTATATATATATATATATATATATAATTACAAACATTATTGTAGTGGATACACATGTTAGAGTAGACATCCCTATCTATTTACAGTGAAATTAATGTTTACTGGCCTAGGGTGTTGAAAATTGTGCTAAAGATAATGTACCACTTTTCAGCAGGAACCTACACATACATACATATACACTGCAGTTTAAAAGTTTGAAGCCATCCCAAGAATGAGCATGGAATGAACTTGACAGATGGGTGAAAAAAAAAATGAAAAAGAGCTCTTAGAGTTATTGAAAAAAGAATGGAATCAATTATCATACTTATATTTTGAGAAACTTTTGCAATTAATGCCAAAATTTCTGCTGCAGCAATCAAGGCTAAAGAAGGATATTTTGACAAGAGCAAAATTTTATCATAAAATTCTTTTTTTCTTTTTGTCATAATAGAATTTCTAATAAAAAAATCATGTCCCACTTTTTTTTTTTTTTTTAACCATGTATAATAATTTTTTCTTATTTAAAGTAAAAAAACAACTACTTTTTGGGCCAATTTAAGAAATTGCCAGGGGTGTTGTCAAACTTTTGAACTAGTATGTGTGTGCATATATATATATATATATATATATATATAAAGCAATTAATGAACGTTTTATTCAATTTTATTGCTTATTAACACCACACTTAGCAGGTGCAGATATTTGAACAGATATATATATATATATATATATATATGTATATATGTTCAGGGCATATTGAGAGCAAGAGAGATAGGGGAAAGCAGCAAGTTACAGAACACAGGGAAGCTTGTGATGAGAAAGTGACTGAAGCTGAGATGTCAGGTCAGGACTAATAACTGCAAGTTCTTTGGATTTTATCAAGAATCTTTAACTTCAGAGTAGGAGCACCAGAGCAGATGTGACAGCAATATTCAATTCCATGACAAATGGTAGGCTTATAAATGTGTGATATGGTCTAACGAGAAAAATTGTCTCGCACAACACAGTGAACCAACTTCTCTCATAGCAGACCTAGTAGTTGATTCAATATAGTCTTTCCACTTCATGTCAGTGGAAGACATTAGCCTGAGAAGGCACAATGTTGTTTAATTTTATATGAAATAATGTGCCTGAGAAAGAATATATTTTAGCTTGGTTAATTTTGCTTTTTATAATAGGTATTTTATATCTGTAAAAACATTAACTCTTGTAATTGAGAAGACAGAAAATTTTGCTTGTGAGTTTTTTTATACAGTGAAGTAATAAAATTATTGTTGATTACAACTAAAATGTCAAGGAGAGGGATTATGTTGTAAATGTCAAGATTATAAGTGTAGGACAGAGTTATTCTCAAAGCTTCTTTTAACCCTTTAAATCTGAGGGGCCGATAAACTGGCTGCGCTGTATGCCATATTCATCAGGGGGTCAAGGTTTAAAAAGTTGAATTTTTTTGTTTTTATTTTTAATTATTTCATATTAATGCTTCTTGATATATATTGTGGATTTTGTTTTCTACATGTGCCATGTAGAAATTAGATGAAGTAGGTCTGAGTGGTGAACTCATAGCTATGTTGCCATAATGATCATAAGAATTAGATATCCTACCAGGAATCATTATTGGTGGCTACAATCTTAACAATATACAACATGCTGATGACACAGCAAAGAAAGGAAACTACAACAACTGCAGAAGGTAGTGAATGAAAGCAAAAAGAAAAGACTAAACATCAACTGCAAGAAGAGAGACTGCATGGTTGTCAGCAAAAGGGACAACCCCAAATGCAAATTACAAATTGGAGATACCAAACAAGTACATCTATTTAAATATCTGGGAAGTGTTTTAACAGAATAAAAGTACAACAATGAAATCCAAAAGTACATTAGGATATTGAAAGGTGCCTTCCAAAAGCTAAGCAAAGTATTAATAAACAGGAAAATTTCATTAGAAACAAAGAAAAGAGTACTAAACTGTTATGTAATATCAGTGCTCCTATATGGCAGTGAATGCTGGAAATCCCTGCACAGATGAACAAAAAACTTGTGGGGATAGATATGTGGTTCTAAAGGACGCTGAGAATACATGTGAACAATGATGAAGTCTTAGAGTAAATAAAAGTGAAAAGGACACTTGATATCAGAAAGAGATAGGATATATAATAAGGAAAGCAGGCTTGGAAAATTTAATACTCATAAGACATACTGAAGGCAGGAGTACACAGAGGAAAACAATACATAACCTCCCTAACTGAGCTCATATTAGTAGATGGCAAAACAGGGTTTTGGAGAGATAGCAAAAAGACAAAATTTACTAAGAGCTACAAAGGTCAGAAAGCTATGGAAAACCATGATCACCAATGTCCTGAAAGGACATGTCATATAAAAGAAGACAGAATTGTTGACCTAAAATATATATATATATATATATATATATATATATATATATATATATATATATTAAACACAAATAAAAAAACAATATAGCATCAAAAATTGGAGTCAAGAAGAGGAAACATATTGTCGATTCATCTGCAGTTTCCCAGTTGGTTAAGGCATTGTCTATGAAAAATGAAATCCCAAGATATCAGTTTTGAGTTTGTCTTTTACCAGAAGCTTCTTCTTTATTCCTACTTTACAACATTCACAGGGCATTCAGCCTATAAATTTCTGATGAAAAGCAACACTATTATCAAGTACAAAAAATATAATGAAAATGCCTCATTTCTGAATTCAAAATAAATGATTTTTCTAGTTAAATAAATGTAAATAAAGCTATAAAATCCTTAAAAGAAAGATAGATATAAACAGTGTGGACATAGGAATGAACACAGCATGTTAGTTTCATGCCTCAATGGAATCTTTAGACTTGAGGTTTGATATTGACAATTGTCATACAGTGTTCAATTCAAGGTCCACACTATCTATATCTACAAAATCACTGATACTGAGTAATCTTCCTCCATAAATATAGCTGATTTTAAACAGAACATCAAGCATCTTTTCAGGTTCAAATACAGTCAAGTTATTTTTCAGATTTTTATTTTAAAATGTTTCTGAGTGAATTAGAATCAACACTCTTCTCCTTTGATTTTTCCATTAACAATAAAAAGGTTTCCAGTTTGGGAAAATATAAAGGATTTCATTAACCGTTTATTTTCCTCCTTTTTTTTTTTAAGCTTTTTCTCATTTTTTCTTTCCATTTGCATTTGTTACTCATTAATGTATTTTTCCTATGTTTTCTTTTTATTCTTCATTTCTGTGATTTTTCTTATATATTTTTTAATTATCCTCTGTTTCTTTCTTCTTTCTTTCCCCCCACATCATCTTATTCTTGTTCCTCCCTTTCTCCTCATCATCTTTTTTCTCTCTCTTTCATTTTCCTTTCTTTCAATTTTTTCATTTTTCTTTCTTTCAGTTCTTTCAGTTTTTCTTTCAATTCTTTCATTTTTTCTTTTCTTTCTTTCAATTCTTTTTCATTTTTTCCTTTCTTTCAATTCTTTTTTTTCTTTTTTTCTTTCTTTTTCTTTCAATTCTTTCATCATTTTCCTTTCTTTCTTTCAATTCTTTCATTTTTCCTTTTTTTCTCTCAATTCTTTCATTTTTCCTTTCTTTCTCTCAATTCTTTTATTTTTCCTTTCTTTCAATTCTTTCAATTTTCCTTTCTTTCAATTCTTTCAATTTTCCTTTCTTTCAATTCTTTCAATTTTTTCTTTTTTTCTTTTTTAATTTTTTTATTTTTTTCTTTTCTTTCTTTCAATTCTTTCATTTTTCCTTTCTTTTCCTTTCTTTTCTTTCTTTCAATTCTTTCGTTTTCCCCCCTCATCATCTTATTCTTGTTCCTCCCTTTCTCCTCATCCATCTTTTTTCTCTCTCTTTCATTTTCCTTTCTTTCAATTTTTCATTTTTCTTTCTTTCAGTTCTTTCAGTTTTTCTTTCAGTTCTTTCATTTTTCCTTTCTTTCTTTCAATTCTTTCATTTTTCCTTTCTTTCTTTCTTTCAATTCTTTCATTTTTCCTTTCTTTCTTTCAATTCTTTCATTTTTCCTTTCTTTCTTTCAATTCTTTCATTTTTCCTTTCTTTCTTTCAATTCTTTCATTTTTCCTTTCTTTCTTTCAATTCTTTCATTTTTCCTTTCTTTCTTTCAATTCTTTCATTTTTCCTTTCTTTCTTTCAATTCTTTCATTTTTCCTTTCTTTCTTTCAATTTTTTTTTTTTCCTTTCTTTCTTTCAATTCTTTCATTTTTTCCTTTCTTTCTTTCAATTCTTTTTTCATTTTTTTCTTTCTTTCTTTTTCATTCTTTTCATTTTTTCCTTTTTCTTTCTTTCAATTCTTTCATTTTTTCCTTTCTTTCTTTCAATTCTTTCATTTTTTTTTCTTTTTTTTTTTCTTTCAATTCTTTTTCATTTTTCCTTTCTTTCTTTCAATTCTTTCATTTTTCCTTTCTTTCTTTTTTTCTTCTTTTCATTTTTCTTTCTTTCTTTCAATTCTTTCATTTTTCCTTTCTTTCTTTTTCATTCTTTCATTTTTTTTTTTCTTTTTTCAATTCCTTTCATTTTCCTTTCTTTCTTTCAATTCTTTCATTTTTCCTTTCTTTTCTTTCAATTCTTTTCATTTTTCTTTTCTTTCTTTTCAATTCTTTCATTTTTCCTTTCTTTTCTTTCAATTCTTTCATTTTTTTCTTTCTTTCTTTCAATTCTTTCATTTTTTTTCCTTTCTTTCTTTCAATTCTTTCATTTTTCTTTCTTTCTTTCAATTCTTTCATTTTCCTTTCTTTCTTTCAATTCTTTCATTTTTTCCTTTCTTTCTTTCAATTCTTTCATTTTTCCTTTCTTTCTTTCTTTCATTTCATTTTTCCTTTCTTTCTTTCAATTCTTTCATTTTTCCTTTCTTTCTTTCAATTCTTTCATTTTTCCTTTCTTTCTTTCAATTCTTTCATTTTTCCTTTCTTTCTTTCAATTCTTTCATTTTTCCTTTCTTTCTTTCAATTCTTTTTTTCCTTTCTTTCTTTCAATTCTTTCATTTTTCCTTTCTTTCTTTCAATTCTTTCATTTTTTTCCTTTCTTTCTTTCAATTCTTTCATTTTTCCTTTCTTTCTTTCAATTCTTTTTTTCCTTTTTTCTTTCTTTCTTTCAATTCTTTCATTTTTTCCTTTCTTTCTTTCAATTCTTTCATTTTTTTTCCTTTCTTTCTTTCAATTCTTTCATTTTCCTTTCTTTCTTTCAATTCTTTCATTTTTCCTTTCTTTCTTTCAATTCTTTCATTTTCCTTTCTTTCTTTCAATTCTTTCATTTTTTCTTTTTCTTTCTTTCAATTCTTTCATTTTTTTTCCTTTCTTTCTTTCAATTCTTTCATTTTTTCCTTTCTTTCAATTCTTTCATTTTTCCTTTCTTTTTTCAATTCTTTTTCATTTTCCTTTCTTTCAATTCTTTCATTTTTTCCTTTCTTTCTTTCAATTCTTTTATTTTTCCTTTCTTTCTTTCAATTCTTTCATATTTCCTTTCTTTCAATTCTTTCATATTTCCTTTCTTTCAATTCTTTCAATTTTCCTTTCTTTCAAGTCTTTCATTTTTCCTTTCTTTCTTTCTTTCAATTCTTTCATTTTTCCTTTCTTCCTTTCTTTCAATTCTTTCATTTTTCCTTTCTTTCAATTCTTTCATTTTTCCTTTCTTTCTTTCTTTCAATTCTTTCATTTTTCTTTCTTTTTCATTTTCCTTTCTTTCTTTTCTTTCAATTTTCTTTTTCATTTTTCATTTTTCTTCTTTCAATTCTTTCATTTTTCCTTTCTTTCAATTCTTTCATTTTTCCTTTCTTCTTTCAATTCTTTCATTTTTCCTTTCTTTCTTTCAATTCTTTCATTTTTCCTTTCTTTCTCTCAATTCTTTTATTTTTCCTTTCTTTCAATTCTTTCAATTTTCCTTTCTTTCAATTCTTTCAATTTTCTTTTTTCTTTTAATTTTTTAATTTTTCTTTTCTTTCTTTCAATTCTGTCATTTTTCCTTTCTTTTCCTTTCTTTCTTTCTTTCAATTCTTTCGTTTTCCCCCCTCATCATCTTATTCTTGTTCCTCCCTTTCTCCTCATCCATCTTTTTTCTCTCTCTTTCATTTTCCTTTCTTTCAATTTTTTCATTTTTCTTTCTTTCAGTTCTTTCAATTTTTCTTTCAGTTCTTTCATTTTTCCTTTCTTTCTTTCAATTCTTTCATTTTTCCTTTCTTTCTTTCTTTCAATTCTTTCATTTTTCCTTTCTTTCTTTCTTTCAATTCTTTCATTTTTCCTTTCTTTCTTTCATTTTTCCTTTCTTTCATTTTTCTTTTCTTTCTTTCAATTCTTTCATTTTTCCTTTCTTTCTTTCAATTCTTTCATTTTTCCTTTCTTTCTTTCAATTCTTTTTTCATTTTTCCTTTCTTTCTTTTTCAATTCTTTCATTTTTTTTCTTTTCTTTCAATTCTTTCATTTTTCCTTTCTTTCAATTCTTTCATTTTTCCTTTCTTTCAATTCTTTAATTTTTCCTTTCTTTCAATTCTTTCATTTTTCCTTTCTTTCTTTCAATTCTTTCATTTTTTTCCTTTCTTTCTTTCTTTTTTCTTTCATTTTTTCCTTTCTTTCTTTCAATTCTTTCATTTTTCCTTTCTTTCTTTCAATTCTTTTCATTTTTCCTTTCTTTCTTTCAATTTTTTTCATTTTCCTTTCTTTCTTTTTTTCTTTTTTTTTTCCTTTTTTTCTTTTCTTTTCTTTCATTTTTCCTTTCTTTCTTTCAATTCTTTCATTTTTTTTCTTTTTTTCATTTTTCCTTTCTTTCTTTCATTTTTCCTTTCTTTCTTTCATTTTTCCTTTCTTTCTTTCATTTTTCTTTTCTTTCTTTCATTTTTCTTTTCTTTCTTTCATTTTTCCTTTCTTTCTTTCAATTCTTTCATTTTTCCTTTCTTCCTTTCTTTCAATTCTTTCATTTTTCCTTTCTTTCAATTCTTTCATTTTTCCTTTCTTTCAATTTTCCTTTCTTTCAATTTTTTCATTTTTCCTTTCTTTCTTTCAATTCTTTTTCATTTTTCCTTTCTTTCTCTCAATTATTTTTCCTTTCTTTCTTTCAATTTTTCATTTTTCCTTTCATTCTCTCAATTCTTTTTCCTTTCTTTTCTTTCAATTCTTTCAATTTTTTTCTTTCAATTTTTCAATTTTTCTTTTTTTCTTTTTTTTTTTTAATTTTTTTTCTTCTTTCAATTCTTTCATTTTTTCTTTTTCAGTTCTTTTCAATTCTTTCGTTTTTCCCCCCCTCATCATCTTATTCTTTTTTTCCCCTTTCTTTTCATCCATTTTTTCTCTTTTTCATTTTTCCTTTCTTTCTTTTTTCATTTTTCTTTCTTTCAATTTTTTTTTCTTTTTTTCTTTCAGTTCTTTCATTTTTCCTTTCTTTCTTTCAATTTCTTTTCATTTTTCCTTTCTTTTCTTTCTTTCAATTCTTTCATTTTTCCTTTCTTTCTTTCAATTCTTTCATTTTTTCCTTTCTTTTTTTTTTTTTTCAATTTTCTTTTCTTTTTTTTTTTCTTTTCTTTTCATTTTTCTTTTTCATTTTTTCCTTTTTTTTTTTTCTTTTTCTTTCATTTTTTTTCTTTTCTTTCAATTCTTTCTTTTTCCTTTCTTTCTTTCAATTTTTCATTTTCCTTTCTTTCTTTCAATTCTTTCATTTTTCCTTTTCTTTCTTTCAATTCTTTTCATTTTTCCTTTCTTTCTTTTTCATTTTTCTTTCATTTTTCCTTTCTTTCATTTTCTTTCTTTCTTTTTTTCAATTTTTTCATTTTTCCTTTCTTTCTTTCTTTTCAATTCTTTCATTTTTTTCTTTCTTTTTTCAATTCTTTCATTTTCCTTTCTTTCTTTCTTTCAATTCTTTTCATTTTTCCTTTCTTTCTTTCAATTCTTTCATTTTTTCCTTTCTTTCTTTCAATTCTTTCATTTTTCCTTTCTTTCTTTCAATTCTTTCATTTTTTTCTTTCTTTTTTTCATTCTTTCATTTTCCTTTCTTTCCAATTCTTTCATTTTTCTTTTTTTTCAATTTTTTTTCTTTTTTTCTTTTTTCTTTTTCTTTTCCTTTCTTTCTTCTTTCATTTTTCCTTTCTTTCTTTCAATTCTTTCTTTCATTTTCCTTTCTTTCTTTTTCAATTCTTTCATTTTCCTTTCTTTCTTTCAATTCTTTTTTTCCTTTCTTTCTTTCTTTCAATTCTTTCATTTTTCCTTTCTTTCTTTCTTTTTTCCTTTCTTTCTTTTTTTTTTCCTTTCTTTCTTTCATTTTTTCTTTTTCTTTCTTTCAATTCTTTTCATTTTTTTTCTTTCTTTTTCAATTCTTTCATTTTTTCCTTTTTTCTTTCTTTTCTTTCTTTCATTTTTCCTTTTTTTCCTTTCTTTTCAATTCTTTCATTTTTCCTTTCTTTCAATTCTTTAATTTTTCCTTTCTTTCAATTCTTTCATTTTTCCTTTCTTTCTTTCTTTCAATTCTTTTTCATTTTTCCTTTCTTTCAATTCTTTCATTTTCCTTTCTTTCAAGTCTTTCAATTTTCCTTTTTTTTCTTTCATTTTCTTCCTTTCTTTCTTTCAATTCTTTCATTTTTCCTTTCTTTCAATTCTTTCATTTTTCCTTTCTTTCTTTCAATTCTTTCTTTCAATTCTTTCATTTTTCCTTTCTTTCAATTCTTTCATTTTTCCTTTCTTTCTTTCAATTCTTTTATTTTTCCTTTCTTTCTTTCAATTCTTTCATATTTCCTTTCTTTCAATTCTTTCATATTTCCTTTCTTTCAATTCTTTCATTTTTCCTTTCTTTCTTTCAATTCTTTCATATTTCCTTTCTTTCAATTCTTTCATTTTTCCTTTCTTTCAAGTCTTTCATTTTTCCTTTCTTTCAAGTCTTTCATTTTTCCTTTCTTTCTTTCTTTCAATTCTTTCATTTTTCCTTTCTTTCAATTCTTTCATTTTTCCTTTCTTTCAATTCTTTCATTTTTCCTTTCTTTCTTTCAATTCTTTCATTTTTCCTTTCTTTCAATTCTTTCATTTTTCCTTTCTTTCAATTCTTTCATTTTTCCTTTCTTTCAATTCTTTAATATTTCCTTTCTTTCTTTCAATTCTTTCATATTTCCTTTCTTTCTTTCAATTCTTTCATATTTCCTTTCTTTCAATTCTTTCAATTTTCCTTTCTTTCAATTCTTTCATTTTTCCTTTCTTTCAAGTCTTTCATTTTTCCTTTCTTTCAATTCTTTCATTTTTCCTTTCTTTCAATTCTTTCATTTTTCCTTTCTTTCAATTCTTTCATTTTTCCTTTCTTTCTTTCAATTCTTTTATTTTTCCTTTCTTTCTTTCAATTCTTTTATTTTTCCTTTCTTTCTTTCAATTCTTTCAATTTTCCTTTCTTTCAAGTCTTTCAATTTTTTCTTTTTTCTTTTAATTTTTTAATTTTTCCTTTCTTTCTTTCAATTCTTTCATTTTTCCTTTCTTTTTCCTTTCTTTCAATTCTTTCGTTTTTCCTTTCTTTCAATTCTTTCGTTTTTCCTTTCTTTCAACTTTTTCGTTTTTCCTTTCTTTCTTTCAATTCATTCGTTCAATTCTTTCGTTTTTCCCTTTTTTTTTCAATTCTTTCGTTTTTCCTTTCTTTCTTTCAATTCTTTCGTTTTTCCTTTCTTTCTTTCAATTCTTTCATTTTTTCTTTCTTTCTTTCAATTCTTTCGTTTTTTTTTATTCTTTCATTTTTTTCTTTTTTGTCTCTTTCTCTTCGATCTTAAAACTTTCTTTTTTTCCTCACAACTCCTCTTCTCTTACTCTTCACTTTTTATACTCTTCTCTTCTTCCACTCCTTTATTAATCTTTTTTCTACAGTTATTGTTTTTACCACCTTTTCTCTTGCCCTTTGCCTTCTTTCTTATTCTTGTCCCTCACTTTCTCTTTTTTCCTCTTCTCTCTCTTTATCTTAATTCTTTGATTTTTCTCTCTTTGTTCTTTAAACTCTTCCTCTCCCCCCAACTTTGTTTTTTCTTTCTCCTAGCACTCCTACTTTTCTTTTCTCTCTCTCTCTCCACCTTTTATACTTTTCTTTTTTCCTCTTCTATTAATCGTTCTTTCCCCATTTTTTGTGTTTCCTTTTATCACCCCCATCTTTTCTTTCTTTCATGCATTAAAATCAAGAAATCAGTTGTATAAATTGACAACAAGAGGAAAGATTGTGTCGATTACAAAACAATTTGCTACTCGCTTTAAAATAGAAAAGAAAGATATGAAGAAGAAAAGCAACAGAAAATAATAAGAGAAAATAATCTCTAAAATGTGATAAATTTATACACTAGCTAATTTACTTGTTACTTTCAGGGTCTCTATCATTAAAGAATTCAAAATCATCTCCTTACCAAATGAACATCAATATTATAAGTACAGGACAAAATCCTACAAAACTACTTTACAGTTTTAGTACTTTTTAAGTTTTGCTATATTTTTGTCTGATATATTCATGGAAATTTGGCCAAATCTATAATATGCTTTGAAAATCTTATCAACAGTGAAATATAGGTAAACCTGGACCATCATGGCCAAAGAAAAATTGGAGCATCAAAAGGATGGTTTTTAACTACCTTCACTCCTTGGCAATGTTTATTGTTTTCATATTTATTCCTTTATGAATTAATAAATGATAAATATTGCATTGCATTAGTTTTTAGAATGTTGTAAACATAAAATTATTCTTGTAAATAAACAATCTAATAGTGTTTAATATTTTTCTTGTAAATTCTCAAGGACATAAAAAATATACAAATTTACTTTCATCATATGTTTAGGTTGTATTATAATTCTATCAATGCTTTTTAGAATAATAAATATTGCCACAGATTTAAGGTAGTTAAAATAATAACAGTGACAAAAGAAAACCATTCTTTTGGCACTCTGTTGTGAGCACAAAGGCTTGCTGAAATATATTAGTTGTGAGCAATATTTTCTTTAATTAAAAAACTTTGTTTTCTACTTCACATTCAATTTCTTATTTACATTGTTAAGACTGTTGTTTTCATCTTCATTGCCATTGTATGCTCTGCCCTTCTTCAGGTGATTGGAATTTTGAACTGAACCCATTATTTCATCCACCTTGATAGATTGTTCTAATTCCATGTCTCAGTATCTGTTATCTCCCTTTAACTCAACTCTCCAAGTTTTTTTGTTCACCTCAGTTGTAGGCAGGTATTGAACTCACAAATCTTTAGATCAAGTCACTATGTGTCCTTGATACATATTAGTGTCCTCACTGAACATGTAAAATTTTGTTATATTATACAGTTCCTCTATTAGAGCGGGGGTGAGCAAAATTGTTTAATGTAAGAGCCACATACAATAAAGTTCATTATCTGTCTATATCTGTCCAAGGTATTATGTACACTATGTTCAGACTATCATCTTCATCTTTGTTGCTATATTTATCACAACGTTTCAGCTGTTATACACTCTGGCCACAAAAATCTCCTGAGCCAACCAAGCATAGAAATGAATACAATATGGGAACTAATAATGAGTGCCAGAGAAAAGCAATAATAACAACTAAAATTGCAATATGAGCTCTGGTAAAAGAAAACATCCAATAATAAAAAAAATGTTGCTGAAGACATTAGGTTTATAATACCCATAAATTCATACACAGTTGTTCTTAAGGACACAGGACAGTGGATAAAAGCATTAGTTAGATCCAGTGACAGGACCCAAAGAGTGTAAGTTCAATACCTGGCTAAGGTGGTGGAGAATTTGGAGAGGGGAATTAACAGGAGATAACTGATAACTGACATCCATTAGACATGGCACGTGGAACTAGAACAGTCTACCCCAGCAAGCGAAATAAAGGGTTCAGTTCAACATTCCAACTACCTGAACAATGGCTGAAATGTTGTGATAAATATGGCAACAAAGATGAGGATGATAGTTCAAACAATGTGAATAAAGTTCAAATGCTGAATGACATGAACAATATTTACTCATATGGTTTTGTTACATAGACATTGACATTAAACTTGCATTTTTAACCAATTGAATCTCAATTCATATCAAGTAAATAATTATAAAGTCTGAATTATTTTTATTTTATCTTTTATATTAACTGTGATGAAGAAAGGAGCTCAGCCAATATATTTCCACAAGCTGCATATTAAAGGTCAAAGAGGTGCATCTGCTCACAAGCTGTGGTTTGGCCACTTTTGCCCTGTTAAATGCATTTAGTGAATTCAAAGCTTGGAAGTTGGTTTCCTATGGATAAGACTGGGAAGTCTCTATCGATGCAGTCAGATGCTGCTGTGAGGTCAAAATATGAGGTGTACAATTTATTAGAAAGATAAGCAATTTCTTGAAGTTCTTTGATGGCATAAATTCTATGATTGCATCTCTTTCCAGAATGAAAGCCAAACTGGCTCGTGAGGAGTTGACTTTCATGAAACAATGAAAGTCTAGTGGATATAATGTCCATAATGATAATGCTTTCACCATAACGTATCCAGTTGAGATACCTCTGTATGTATGAGGGTCTTGAGCCTGACCTTTCTGTTTCCCTAATGCATGACAAACCCCAAAAGTAAGCCATTTTCAAAAGTTTAGCTTCAATGTCAAGTGATGCTTTATTATTCCTTAGTTTATTTTAAATAACTTTCTTAATTTCCTCATTACGAGGTTCCTTATTGTTTATGTTTGGAGATGAACTTTGTAATGATTAGATATATAGTTGGATATGTTCTATTTCAGCAGACATCTTTAATTTGGCCATGGCCAGAAGATATGCTTGTTTATGAAACCGGGAACAAACAATCCATATTTGGATGACACTGATGGTAGACTTGGAAAGAATGCTGAAAGAACTCTTTGACAAGGGGATAATAGAAAACAGAATGCATGGTACAAAAGACCTCAGAGATCTTGGACTGTCTATATAGTGGGAATCTCAAAATCAAGCAGGGACAGAAATCCAATCATCTAGGTAATGAAGGAAAAGGTAATGGAAAACGTAATTCAGAAATTCAAAAGCATATATGAATAAGGAAAGATGTCTTCCAAAAACTCAGCAAAGTACTAAGACCAAGAAAAATATTAGAAATTTAAAAAAGAAAAACATAATACCAAACTGCTATGCAATATCTAGTCTCTTATATGACAGAGTATGCTGGATAATTTCTTCATTGATGAGGAAGAGACTTGAAATGAGAGAGATGTGGTTCTACAGAAGGATGCTGAGAATACCATGGACCAAACGTGAGCAAATACAAAGTCTTAATGAAAACAGGAAACTACCAAAAAAAAAAAAGAAACAAACTTATGCTTACATTCAGAATGAGACAGATGAATTTCTGGGACATATAATGAAAGAAAAATCTCTGGAGAATTTAATACTCACAGGTCATGCAGAAGACAAGAGAAGCAATAGGAAACCATAGATAACTAACTTATTGCAGACCATGCACAAATAGGTAAATAGTTGAAAATTATTTTACAACATTTACATTTGTTGATAAGTTGTTAGCAAAAAGAATGGCCCAAAATGCAAATTACAAATTAGGGATTCCAAAATGAAGCAAGTACAACTTAAATATCTGGGAAGTGTTTTAACAAGGGATGGAAAGTGCAAACTGAAATCCAGAGGCACATTGGGATAGCGAAAGGTGCCTTCCAAAAGCTAAGCAAATTATTAAGAAACAGAAAACTTCCATTAGAAACAAAGGAAAGAGTATTTAACTATTATGTAATATCTGTCCTCCTATATGGTAGTGAATGCTGGGCCATCTTTGCACATATAAAGAAGATACTTGAAGCATCAGAAATGTGGTTCTACAGAAGGATGCTGAGAATACCATGGACTGGACATGTGAGCAGTGAATAAGTTTTAGAGAAAATGGGGACAAAAAGGACATTTACACTTAACATCAGAAAGATATAGTTGATATTTCTAGGATGCATAATGAGGAAAGAGGGCTTGGAAAATTTGATACTCACAGAACAGATTGAAGGCAAGAGTGACATGAAAACATTGCATAACCTATCTAGTGAGCTTGGCAGAACAGAGTTTAGGAGTGGTAACAAAAAGACAAAATTTATTGAGAGCTTAAAAGGACTGGAAATTGTGGAGAACCATCAGTGCCAATGTTCTGAAGAGTCACAACACATAGAAGAATAATGGGTCACAAAAGAAAGAATCACCATGAATAGGAATGGTAAGGAAATTTTTACAGCAATCAATGTATGGGATTGAACATATAATAACTAACCTGTTTATTCTAATATGTGAAAAAAGAACAGTCAATTTTTCTTTTTTTTTTTTTAACTCTGGAGCATGTATCTAAAACTGGACAAAATGTGTAACTGGGAAACTAGTGAAATGAAAACGGTCTAAACATGTTTAACCTATTATTGTTCAGTGTAAGCTGGTACTAATTATAAAAATAACACTCCGGTATTAAATACAGGTTTTTAATTATAGGTTTCTATCTCTTGGTGTCTACCATACCAAAAATGGACTGGTGGGCATGAATGGGTTAAATTCTTCATTGGAAACGGAATTTTTTTATTCAGTGATTGCAAAAAATAATCCCAGGAAAATAAAGCAATAATAATTACTTTCTCATCTTTTTAAGGAAGTGAACATAATTGGTTTGTTTTTTTTACAGGTGAAGGGAGTGATTTTCATGGAGTAAAAAGAATCAGTCAAATATTGTTAAAGAAAAAGAAGAAATCCACTGAAAATAAAAAAAATAACTAATCACAATTTTGTTTT